GAATTTGTAAAATAATGTACTACTTTTTAAAGTCAAAACCACTTTCTAATTACTTTCATAGAGTTGATTTCTAACATACAGTGAATATTTCTTGTTAGCTAAAATTCAGTTTAGAAATCAGTAACAAGTCTACAGAGTAGTAGAAGATTTTAATTTATAAAAATATCCTCAATAAATGTTCTTAGATATGTGTAGGTTCTCTGCATAGGAAAGGCTGGGTGGAAGCAGCCAGGGTGTTATAGAGGGCATATTTCTAGGGATAGCAACAAGAGATTAGCAAATCCTGGCATTTTTCCTAGAATGCAACCTGAGCAGGTTACAGAAAAAATAAATGTAGTCTATATTCAGACTCTTTTAATAGGGCACGGTGTGAGGCTAAGAGATGGGTTGAATACTATTTATTGACTAGCCCTTTGGTGACAATATCTGGTTAGGAAGTCAGGGAAATCTTGGAAGTCTCCAGGTGTGGCAACTAACTTGGGGCCTTGAAAACACTACAGAAAATGCCACATGGGCCTGGAACACTTCTGTTGCACTCACCTTTTTAAACCTAATTGAGAATTGCATGTAGTGTTGGCAAAGATGAATGACAAGGAGGTACAATGTAATACCTCCATGATCTCCCCATGATTGCTATTATATACTTTGAGCCACCCCAAATAAGCAGAGCCCCTATGTACAACTGGTCTTCTTGCTGAGCAGACAAAGGACTTAAATGTCCTTTAGACCTAAGTTCCCCTTCATAGATATTCTGAAGCTTTTTGATAGAAAGTAGATGATCAGGAAATATTTCTCAACTGAATAAAAACGTCAATGAGTGGGAAAAAGGAGTATGGAGATGTTGGACCAAACTGTAGTTTCCTAATTTAAAATAATCTACTTTTAAATCTTAGGATTTCTCCTGGGTTTAGTGAGAGGGTAGGGTAACAGTGTGCTTATAAATGTTTTACCAAATGGATGGTAAACACATGTGACAATGGTCAACTCAGTCATTTGGGCTGAATTCGTAGATCTGAGCTACCATAGCATGTATGACATATTCAGAATGTGTTTTCAAGTATGTAGCATCAACAAATAAAATTACATCAAGGTTTTTATAAGAATTTTTCAAAAGCTTAGAAAAGACTTTGATAGTTACCTAAAGTAGAGTAAAAATACCTCCTTAGGTAGAGGAAGAATTGCTGTATTTAGGATAATAACACTGCATAGTGATACATAAAAAGGGAAGGCAACAAAATTTCATAGGAGATAAGCCAATTAACTGGGAATTTCTTATTTTCTGTTAATGGCAGTCTGCACAGAAAGGAAAGCCAATTAATTATATAGGGACCCGATAACTAAATCTACTATGTTGACCAGGATGGTCTCGATCTCTTGACCTCGTGATCCACTTGGCTAGGTTTTTAAGAGTCGGTTTCTCAGTCACCAGTCTCAGGATGGATGCTTAGTGCAACTCTTATGTGGCTGCCACCATACCGGACACCATAGGACAAAGGGAGAGCCTAGACAGATCAGACAATGCCAAAGCCCGATTAAGGCTGGCTCAGTTTTGGAAGTCTAGGCTGGCCGAAAACCCAGCTCATCCATATGAGCTATGAAAGTAGCAGTTCGCTAGATGCCTTCATCTCACTCTGATCTTGAACACATTTAATAGCTGCTGTTCTATTAGGCCTGCACTCAAGGAACAAGTGGAGTCCAGGGTCAGAGTCCTTTCACTAGGAACTCACTCTCCTGTGCCAAGTCACAGATTCTATTCAACCATCAGAACCCAATCCTGTTTTTATAGGTGGCAGAAGTGCTTGAAAGTTAGAGATGAAGACCCTAACATGGCTGAAGTCAGTATGCCTTGTTTATACCACCTTGACCAAGCACTTTGAATACACGGGGCTCTGTGGGATAGCTGTGGTATTTCAGGGCCCCATCTGATTCTCAGAGCACATAATCACGATGAGCCAAGACCAGTTTTGCTACCACAGTTTTTGGTTAAGGAAAATATACTGTGTCAGAGTACATCCAGTGTCTGACTAGAATAGCAATGGTCAAAAATGAAAAGGATATGTGATAATTAGGCAATCCTAAAGTTGGTAGTTGTTGACATTGGCATTATTTAACATAACAAAGACTTTTTAGTGTTTTTTTTTTTTTCTCCCTGAGAGAAGATTCAAGGATACAATCTCAATACAATTGAGATGTAATTTCAAAAAAAAAAAAATACATACATTACCTGAAATATCCAGCTAGTCATAAAAATTTCCAGATTCAGCTTTTGGAGTTGACCTAGAAAAATGCCAGATATGTGTAGAATATATCATGAGATAAAATAACTTTCATTGGTAGAATGGCAATTTCTCTTGGAGGCTTTATGTTTTTTCTGGATTAATGCTTTCAATAAATAGAAGGAAATGATCTTAGATCTTTGTCTTTTCAGGTTTAAATGAAGATCATCTATACATTGTAAAAGAATGATTTCATAATGAAATTTTATACTCTTTGGGTCTTGATTGAGAGAAGTAGAGGGGGCTTCTCTAAATAACTGATATATAATAGACCTGGAATATTGTCAATTTTTCTATGACAGGGCCAACAGATAGTGACTGTTCAAACCTTGAGGAACAGTAAAAGGACATAGCACAAGTACACAACAGTAAATAAATGGATTTAGATAGTACTCAGAACAAACTGATACTTGATTTTGAGACCACTGTAAAATAGTGGATCACAATTTTGTTTTCAATACTCAAATCTTGCACAAACATGTATCTATGCATAGGAGAATATTTTTAATGAGCAACACAGTTGTGTTACAAAGATTAGTAGCAGTAATAAAAAGATAACTTTTAGCGAAACATTCCACAGTAGATCCAGACCATCTTTTGTTTTAACCTTCAAAGGATATTGGGCAAGACTGGGAAGATGATTAGATAAATAATTTATTACTTAGATGGGATCAGTACCTCATAATTTCAAGATATCAGTATATTCCTTGGTTTAGAAGGTACCAGGAGCCTCAAGCAGTGCTTCAAGTTCTGATTGGGTTAAGTATCCAGGAACAAAAAAATAAACATCCTCTTGAACTATTAGTGTATGATGCATGTGTCACATACAAGAGATTTCAGATATTTCAGGAAACCGTCCATCTAGAAGGCGCTGGATTTGAAAGCTACCATAAAGGAATCGCTCAATAATAAATTTGTTTGGATGTTATCACAAAGGAAGAATGAATATTGACTCATGGGAAGGCTGAGAGTTATTGTCACACGCTGAGTGATGGGGACAGCCTAGGAGTATTTGAAAATGTTAACGCTCCAGTAGTCTGAAGATTCATAAGATAATAAAGTCACAGAAATAGTGGTAGAACAGAATAGTACTCATGCTATTTAGAAAGTTTTGCTTCTGCCTCTCTATTACTAGAGATGGTTCTTTTTGATGGTTTAACAGAATCATTGGAAATTGTGTGCTACAGTCTCCCTTGGAGTCCCTTTCATAACATTTAGAAACTTATTTGGTTCTTTTCTTATTTTTATTAAGATGAAGCAATTAATGTTTCAGTTGCCTTTTTGCTTACAAACCTAGTAAAGGTCTTGTTGAACAGGGGATTTTTACTGGTTCTTAAGGCTGTGGGAATTCTTCATTCATCTGCTTTATTTTGAAATCTGTAAATTTAGTTTGAGAGTTGTTTTGTCCTATCTAAATTCTCTTCAGTACATTCAGCCAAAGGCTGAAGTTTGTGTAATAGAGTGATCTGCCATCCAATATTTTGTTTACATACCAAATCCACAATTTCTGGTTTTAGGCCATCTACAAAAATGTTGGAGAGGATAGTGGACATGTCAGCATTGGGGCCTAAGGCTGAATATATTAACTAAAGGCACTGATTGGTCTATCCCTGAGTTCTAAGGTTTTACAATTTTGCTGTTTGCTAGAGTGAACCAATATGCAGTTTCAATTTACTGGGCAAGACCTGAGGTATATTCTTTCAAGTAGATTGTCCCAACTTATGTACCCTCACATATCCCATTTCCTTAAGGTTTATTGCATTACTTTTTAAGTCCTTCTCAGAGTCCTGCAATTAGGCTTTTCCAAGCAAGTTTTGCATCTCCTGGCCCCACCAAAAATGCACTAATTGATATACCATCCATGTGAGAATGTTTTATCATGCAATCATTCAACTTCCATAACTCAAGGGTTAGGTGCTATTATTATTCTCTTTTTACACATGAGGAAATGAGACTTGGACAAGTTAATTTAATTGCCCACAGTCATAATTAGCAAGACATAAAACCAGATTTAAATCAATGGCTCCATGACCTCCAAATCTAAAAATTTAAGTATTTTGGACTTCTTCCATAAAGAGATATTGTCCCTTTACAAGCTTGAACCACAAACCTCTATGTTAACAGTCCAATGTGCTTCTCAGGAATGCTGTAAGAATCTCATGTTGATGCATTTATTTTATTATTTTTCTACCTTTGAGAACTGTCACCATATTCTTCAGATAGCTTATTGTCATTTTGTTTTACACTCTAGATATTGAATCATTTCCAGAGAGTAATGCTATACTCTAGATGTTGGGTCATTTCCAGATGTGAGTGTTACGGGTCTCACTTGCTCCTCCCTTAAATGAGACACCATTCAGTTGCCACATAGGAATGGGTCAGTAACTAGCTATATAATCTAGCAGAAGAGCTCCACTGTGCCAGTTTCTGATTTTATTTTGGAAAATATTTTTATATTGTGTACCACTCACTTTAACCCAAAATAGAATCAAAGACATGAAATAAGGAATTTATGTGGCAAGTAGTCACAGTTAAATGAAGGCTTATTTCCACCACTCATTTTTTTTTCTGTGTCTATATAATACATAAAACTGAAAGATAATTTTTTCTAACAAAAATGTTTCCTGTCAAATTCTTCCAGCACTATTTGGGAATGTCATTGAATAAACTAATAGTAGGCGTCCAAGCCAAGAGTAATTATGTTACATTGCTCTTTTTTGCCAGGGAGCTGTTTTTTCCTGTAAATGAGGCACTTTGACATAAGCACACTTTTGCACTGTAAAGTGGAAGAGGATTTGATGTCAATGTCTTTCAGGTGAGACACAAAATTATATTTTCCCACTTCTAGATTAATGTAACAAAGTGCTCAATCAATCAATTAATCAACCTGCTTTTTCTGATAATCACTGTAGCAGATAGCAATTAGAAATGGAAACATACACCCTTAAAAGTTGAGGCTATTTATGATGGCTTAGGCTTATGTGACATTTTATATTCAGAAAACACTTTAAAAACATTCATATCAGTGTTTGCTTTAAGCCAGATTTTGAAGAGTTATTTCTTTGATTGCCATTTTTAGAGGAGCAAGCTGGCTTTGGAAGGTTAAATAACTTGCTCAAATATGGTTAGCACTGGTGGCAAAAGTGGAGCTAGCAATCTAGTCTGAAGCCCATCTATTTTAGCACAGGTCACTGTAACAGATGTGCTATCTTAATTTCTCATTTTCTCCAGAACGGAAATTTGAAAGCATTTTGCAAGTTTATGCAAATGAGTTTATATATTGTGAGGGTCAAGAAAAATCCATTTTGTAAACATACCATTTTTATTTATATATATATGTATACATATACTCATATATGATAACTATGAGGAAAAGGCTAAGGGTTTTATATACTTATTTCAAATACATAAATCATTTAAACATAAGTTTTGTAGGAAGTCCATAAATTATCTTCAGTAAATGAGATTATTTATGGATAAAATGTATTGATAATTTATAGGATAGTATGCAGTATGCCAAGAACTTAAATTATCTCATTTTAATCTCATTAAGCACTAGGAAACAAGTACTATTATTCTTATTATAAAGTGAATAAACCGAGGAAGTATACAATTTTCTAAAGGCTACAGAGAACAAGAGCCAGGGTACCATAAAATGTCTATCTATTGCTGTAAAGACCAGATCATTAAGCCCTATATGGCATTGCTTCCTACTGCAGTCTACTACTTTAAGTAAATAACACTTTCTATTTACTTTAATTCCAATTTGTATCCTTTCTTTGCTTTATTTCGTTAGTTATGAACATGTGTACTTGTGTCCCTTTTTATTAATTAACTAACATATAGTAGGCTGGGCCCAATGGTGCACACCTGTTGTCCCAGCGACACTTGAGGCTGAAGTGGGAGAATCACTTGAGCCCAGGAGTTGCAGTCCTGCCTGGGCAACATGGCAAGACCCTGTCTCTAAATAGTTAGACAGCTATATAGATAATAGATAGACAGATAGATAGATAATAGATAGATATCATTTAGTGTCCTGATGACACTAAAATCAACCATAGTTACTCTCTTGGTTGTAGAAAAATGTGTTCTCTAAATTCAGGTACAAAAATAATTTTGATGCTTATATAGGCCTTTTCAGATGTGTAATATGATGACTGTTGTGACAATTGACAAGATATGGGCTAGGAAACTCCACAATCATGAGAGTATATATACCTTTACAACAGTCGAATAGATCCCCATATTTTCATTAATCAATAAACATATATTTCAGGACACACTAGGTTCCATAAACTATGCTATATGCTGATTATAAATTTGTTTTACACAGAAGATGCACATATCTATACATATAGTAGTATTATGACAGTTGTAGCATACAGAATATCTAAACTAAGGTCCAACATAGGTGAATGAATGCTTTGGCAGGCTAAAAATTTGGCAGTGATTGTAAAATATTTACTTAGTATGTAATCTTCATCAAGACTGAGTGCTACACAGGGTTGCTTTGGAAAGGGCTGCTTAGGAGAGCTTTGTTTTGCACTGCTTTGCAATTGTTGAGCAATTCAGTTCACCCCAAAATCTGCATTTCCCAGCAAAACAGGAAAATGTAACTAATCAGATCATTCTTACAGTCCACTTTAATAACCTTTGCTACTTGTGCACAATGTCTGTAGCATCCCTTTGCCCGCACACAAAGCAGCTTTTGGAGGAATTCGTTCCACTTACATATAGTACTCTCCATGAGAGGAGATTTCCTTCCAATTGATATGATTCCAGTTATGTGCAATGTCCTTCTAGATTAACACTCTGGTCAGGAGTCTGTTTGTTTCATGTACTTAAATCTCCTTTGATAGGTGGGATTTAGAAGATGTTCCTAAGATAGGATGTGTATCTGTTAAGGTAACACTAGCTGCTATAATGACAACAGCAATATATATAATGACTTTACACAATAAACATTTACCTTTGAACACATAAATTATCATTAGTATTTTCTGATTGGAAGATCATACTCAAATGAAATCCAAGCTCCTTCTGTGTTATGGCCAGGCTATTTCCCAAAAGCTCAACTCCTCTGAATCCAGCCTATAGATAGGGAAAGAGGAGAGGGGAAGACACCCACTTATAATCACTTCACCTGAGAAGCGACATATCTATATCTATCTATCTATCTGTCTATATATATATATATATTTAATTGTGTTTTAGGTTTTGGGGTATATGTGAAGAACAGAAGAACATGCAGGATTGTTTCACAGGTACATACATGGCAATGTGGTTTGCTGCCTTCCTCCCCATCACCTATATCTGGCATTTCTCCCCATGTTATCCCTCCCCAACTCCCCACCCACTGCTGTCTCTCACCTAGTTCCCCCTGACAGACCTCAGTGTGTGACGCTACCCTCCCTGTGTCCATGTGTTCTCATTGTTCAACACCTGCCTATGAGTGAGAACATGTGGTGTTTGATTTTCTGTTCTTGTGTCAGTTTGCTGAGAATGATGGTTTCCAGGTTCATCCATGTCCCTACAAAGGACACGAACTCATCATTTTTCATAGCTGCATAGTATTCCATGGTGTATATGTACCCCATTTTCCCTGTCAGTCTGTCATCAATGGGTATTTGGGTTGGTTCCAAGTCTTTGCTATTGTAAACAGTGCCTCAATGAACATTCTTGTGCATGTGTCCTTATAATAGAACAATTTATAATCCTTTGGATATATACCCAGTAATGGAATTGCTGGGTCAAATGGAATTTCTATATCTAGGTCCTTGAGAAATCGCCACACTGTCTTCCACAAAGGTTGAACTAATTTACACTCCCAACAATGTAAACATGTTCCTATTTCTCCACATCTCTCCAGCATCTGTTGTCTCCAGATTTTTTAATGATCACCATTCTATCTGGTGTGAGATGGTATCTCAATGTGGTTTTGATTTGCATTTCTCTAATGACCAGTGATGATGAGCATTTTTTCATGTTTGTTGGTTTCATATATGTCTTCTTCTGCAAAGTGTCTGTTCATATCCTTTGCCCACTTTTGAATGGGCTTGTTTGTTTTATTCTGGTAAATCTGTTTTAGCTCTTTTTAGATTCTGGTTATTAGCCTTTGTCAGATGGGTAAACTGCAAAAATTTTTTACCATTCTGTTGGTTGCTGGCTCACTCTAATGATTGTTTCTTTTGCTGTACAGAAGCTCTGGAGTTTAATTAGGTCCCATTTGTCTATTTTGACTTTTGTTGCCAATGTTTTTGGTGTTTTAGTCATGAAGTCCTTGCCTATGCCTATGTCCTGAATGGTTTTGCCTAGATTTTCTTCCAGGGTTTTTATGGTGTTAGGTCTTATGTTTAAGTCTTTAATCCATCTAGTTAATTTTAATGTAAGGTGTCAGTAAGGGGTCCAGTTTCTGCTTTCTGCACATGGCTGGCCATTTTCCCCAACACCATTTATTAAATAGGAAATCCTTTTCCCATTGCTTGTTTTTGTGAGGTTTGTCAAAGATCAGATGGTTGTAGAAGTGTGGCATTGCCTCCAAGGCCTCTGTTCTGTTCCATTGGTCTATATCTCTGTTTTGGTACCAGTACCATGCTGCTTTGGTTACTGTAGCCTTGTAATATAGTTTAAAGTCAGGTAGTGTGATGCCTCCAGCTTTGTTTTTTGCTTAGAATTGACTTGGCTATGTGGGCTCACTATCAACATGTTTACTTCTAACTCAAACCATCTATTAATTGATTAGAAATTATCCCCAACTCATAAAACTTCTAGAAATATGTAAGCTCCATGTAAGTTGAGCTACTGTGTATATGAAGAAACCAAGGTGCTTCACAGATGCAAGTGGACTAGGAAATATAGAAGCTGGATGAGTATATTCTTCCCCACAAGTCTACACTTCCTAGCAAATCTACACTGTGAAAATAGAGAATAACATTTAAGGATGGTCTCTGCCAAAGGATGCAGTGTTAATGTGGCTTGATTAGGCATTAACCAAGTGAAGAATAGTGGGGCATATTTCAGGGAGAAAGGACAGCCTGTTCAAAGATTGTGAAAATGTAATTATGGATGTTATTATAAAAGTGAGACCCCAGAAGAGGCTGTCACTAATGTCAAATGTGATTCAATCAAGAAATACTGAGCACTATGCTATGGACTCAGCACGTTGTGAAAAATATGGAGTTCTACAAAATGTTGCCTCTGCCAAGGGAGGCACTTTCAATTCTGTGAGAGAAAGACACACAGCCAATCAACTATTTTTAAAAGGTTTTTTTCTTACTTCTGAATTGTGATACATAATGATTTACTAGACTCAGTGTTAATTTTAAAATTTTGAATTCTAGGAACATTCTGAGCTAGATTTTCTGGGACTGTTCTGGAAAAATACTGAGCAATTTAATTGATTCATTTATTCTATCATACACAGTGCTTAAGTTACAATATTCTCTTTTTGGAACAAGATATAAGGTGGTAAAAAAAGAAAGTAGCTCAACTTTCATGGGACTTACATACTTGTAGAAGTTTCGTGAGTTAGGGATAATTTCTAAATTGATAGCTGGTTTCAGATAGAAGAAAGCATATTGATAACATAAACATAAATGGCATCTTTTTATATAAGGCTCTTCACATGAGGTTTTTTATTTTTATTATTTTATAGGTTTCTAGAGGAGTGTACAGTGTTATGAAAAATTACACATGAAATGAAGATTCATATATAAGGTTACTTTAAAAGACACATTATTTTTCTTCATACACTGACATCTAAAATAAGTGTATAAAACTGAGATTAGAATTAATATTTTTAAGCACTTTATTCTTAGGAGTGTGTAAGACTGAATTAAATATCAACTAGAAATCTCATCGAGAGAATTAATATGATGTACTTGATTAGATCTGAATTTTCAGGTATGTATGGTTTAATATAACATTAAAGAGACTTTTCAGCCTACACCTGATTCCTTTTTTGTTGCTTCCAGTAGTTGAAATCTGAATTAGAATTCTTCTTTCCATTTAAATGCAGATTCAGACTGTTCACCTGAGGGGGGGAAGTCATTTCTTTTGACTAAAATACTAATATATAGGGAAGTTTCATTTACATGAATATTCCTCTCAGCACAGGAGGTCTTTTCTTGCAATATCCAGAATATTTATTGCAATAATTTTATAGCCTCTTTATGTTTATGTCATTGTTGTAGGCTACAATTTTATGTGCTAAATAATGGGGTAAATACAAATTAAACTTTCACTGGGCAATGGAAAAGCAAGAGGGAATTTAAAAATGGAAGTGGTGCATTAAACAGCACTGAGTGACCAAATCAAAATTGAAACGGGGGATGCTGAAAAGCCAGGTGCATTAATATACTGACAGAGATACAATGTATAGAGCCATTTTATGCCTTTTTCTTTAATCTTTTTTTTTATCCTTTAAAAATTGATTCCTGTAAGTGTTTTAAAATATAAAGCCTTGGGTTATATATGCCAACTCATCTAACACATATCTGAAATGCTGCTACACTTATCTCCAATGTAGAGACTTATTACACTGAGGAAATAATAAGTAGAGATAAATCATTTTGATAGTATTAGCATATTATTAAATAATTTCTTGTTGTATTGAATAAAAGCTAAACAGTTCCATTTTAGTGAGAACATATGACAATTTTAGCCAGTCCAAATGCTATTGGAATCTAACTCCAAATATGTATATTTAAAATAAAAAATTTTTCTTGGATAATACTTATGTGTGAACAAAATGTAAAGTGGAAAACATTTATCTCAAATATTTAATAGAAAGGTTTACAGTTATTTTTAAAATGTATCCTCTCCCTCAAAATAAATTCTAGTTGAAATAATGTCATTTATGGCAAGTTACACAGTTTGCCATTACCGCAGTTTAAATATATATATTTTTTATTAAACCAAAAATTGAGGAATACATCTTATGTGTTAGGCACTGGAGATATAGGGGTTAAGCAATCAGCCACTGAATTATGTAGTCGAGAACATCATAAAGATACATACATTCAGCACAGTTATTTTATGACCTTTCATTTAAAACATGTAAATCTGAAACCCTATAATCTTAGGTACCCTGATACCATCCTTATGTTGTGTATGTGTGTGTGTGTGTGTGATTTCATAGGTAGCTTCTTCTCAGTTTCCCTAGGAACTCAATGTCATTTGGTAGTACTCCACATCATCTGAACTATGTATCTTTGTCACACTATATTATCCCTCAGTGATACTATCTAGGTACAGCCCTTCATCTATCATCTCTATCAGGAATAATTAAACTTCAGTGTGTGCAAGAACCATCTGGTTGTTTGCGATAAAGTTAGATTTAGTACTTTTAGTTGGGGTCCAGGAATTGTATCATAAACCCTTGACGATTTTGATGCATGTCTTCAGCAATAACACTTTGAGGAGCATCTATCTATGAACAACCAATACTCCCAGTCTATTGCTAAAGTCAATATGCCTCTTCTGGGAATATAACAAACACCCTGTTAAAAATTTGCTCTTGGATGTTGCTTATGTTCCTAATACTCTCTAAACCTCTCCCCATCACACTGCCACTGCCTCCAGCATATATTTCATACCACAGTTGATCCTTAAACAACATGAATTTTAAATGGGCAGGTCCACTTACATATGGCTTTTTTGAATAAAAATTTTACTAAGTATGTCTCCCTCTTCTGCCTCCCTTTCCATTTCCATCACTTTATCTACCTCTGCCACCCCTGAGACAGCAAGATCAACACTTCCTCTTCTTTCTCTTCCTCAGTCTACTCAACATGAAGACAAGGATGAAGACCTTTCTGAAGATCCACTTCCACTTAATGAAGAGTAGATATATTTTCTCTTTCTTGTGATTTTCTTCGCAACATTTTCTTTTTCTTTAAGAATGCAGTATAATACACATATACACAAAAAATGTGTTCATTACTGTTCATTTTTACCATAAGGCTTTTGATCAACAGTAGGTTATTGTTGGTTAAGTTTTTGGGGAGTCAAAAGTCAAACATGAATTTTCAACTGTAGGAGGAGGTTTGCATCCCTAACCTTTGTGTTATTTAAGAATCAACTGCAGGGAAGCTGAGGCAGGTGGATCACGAGGTCAAGACATCGAGACCATCCTGGTCAATGTGGTGAAACCCCGTCTCTACTCAAAATACAAAAAATTAGCTGGGCATGGTGGCGCGTGCCTGTAATCCCAGCTACTCAGGAGGCTGAGGCAGGAAACCTGCCTGAACCCAGGAGGAGGAGGTTGCAGTGAGCCGAGATCGCGCCATTGCACTCCAGCCTTGGTAACAAGAGCGAAACTCCGTCTCAAAAAAAAAAAAAAAAAAAAAAAAGAATCAACTGCATATTGCCTGGCTAAGAGAGTTTCAAACTTGCCTATTCTATATAAGAATTTAGAAATTCAGGTGTTGTCTTTGACTTTTCCCTCTACTTCATTACTCCCATCTGATCAATTATAAAGTCCTATTGATACTAAACCTTAAATAGATCCTGAATTTGCACAATTCTGTCTTTTTTGACTCTGCTGCCACCTCTCCTCTTTACACAATCACCGTTTCTCAAGTATATTTTCCTTATTGACTCCAAAACTTTTTCTGACCCTCTCAAATTAAACCTATACTCCCAACTGTAACCCAAGTAATAATACTAGCAAGAAATCAGAGAAAATATCATATGCCTAGAAATTAAAATGTCCTCACCATAGTTAAGATTCCACACATGGCTGAGCCCCAGCATAACTCTAATATCCTGTTTTGCCCCTCTCCTTATACACCTACTGCACATAGTGTAGTCCTCCAAATGCAGTCTACCCTTTTTTACCTCCTGGTCTGCCTTAGTTCATTTAGACTGCTTTAATAACATACTAAGAAGTTATAAATTGCCAGAATCTATTTTGCACAGTTCTGGAGGTTATAAAGTTCAAGATCAAGGCACTGGCAGATATGGTGTCTGATGAGGGCCCACTTTCTGTATCAGAAATTGCACCTTCTCTTTGTATGTTCACATGGTGGAAGTGGTGAGGGGTCTCTTTGGGGATTCCTTTATAAAGACACTAATCTCATTCTTAAGAGTGGAGCCCTCATGACATAACCACTTCCTAAAGGTCCTACCTCACTGAGGTTAGGATTTCGATATATGACTTTGGGGTTTGGGGGGACAAACACGAAGATCATGACATGATGTTATATTTGCATGTACTCTTCCCTGTACCTACATTCCCCACTTACCACTTGGCTAACCTCCTCTTCAATTAGAACATTATGTCTTTGGTGAAGGATCCTTGATATAAGAAGTTTTGATTGGATCCCTTTCTTACATGCACTAAGATTGCCTGATTTAGCATATTTATATATTTCCTATATAATATTTGAGACACACTTGCACTAAAAAACTGTTTTTTTATCTGCAATTAAAATTTAACTGAACAACCTGTGTTGTGTCTGCAACCCAAACAAGCATCATCCCTATGATTTATCATATCAAACTTGGATTTTCTTTCTTCCTTTCTTTTTCCTTCCTTCCTTTTTCTTTCGTTCTTTTTCTCTCTTTCTCTCCTTCATTCTTTTTTCTTTTCTTTTCTGTCCGATTTGTCTGTATCCCTTAATAAACTGTAAATTCCTCAAAGACAGAAACTTAGTCTCCATTTTCCTACATTGTGTTACTATACTCTTTGGGTAGTGCCTGGCAATCAAAACCTATTTGAAAACAGAGTGGAATAAAGTACTCAATATTAAAACCTCTCCACTTCTGTTTGTTTCACTGTGTCTTATTGCTTTTAAATCATAGCAACAGAAAGTTTGCATGTGGTATGCATAATCTTTAAATATACTTTTTAAAGTTTGATTCTTAACAGGAACAAGGATTTCATATCACAGCAAAGCCTATAAACAATTATACTTTGAATGTAATCCACCCTTCTACAACAAATATAACTGAAAGAATCTGTGAACCCAAAGCTCTACTAGGCTAGTTTTCTCATATACACAAGAAAGGTGTTTAATAATGTGGACTAGAATTTTTAAAGCTTATTTTAATAATAAGGAAGACTTTTCATGTCAGAGAAAGCATTAGAGAGAAGCTCAGTAGAATTTTTCCTATTTGTACTCAGAAAAATAAATAGTTCTCAATTTTCAAATTTTTAAAACCTTAAAAATGGTTCTTTTACAGAGAAATACTTAAACAATTTTCTGAAAATAGGTACAGACTTTGCTATGTATTGTGATTGAAAACAATTAATTGAATATTCTGAGTAACTTTAAAAAGTAGAAAATACCAATACCAATTACAGGTCCATTAAAACAAAGCTTTTTATAATTGTCTGTATTAGCAATTGATCTTCAAATGTCACAAGATGCCATGGGCTTCTAGAATGGATGATGGATAGCAATTTTAGTAAAATTAGGCACAGATATCGAAAAGCAAAAACACATCTGTTCTATAAAAAGGAGTTATTCTTATGTGAAAATAGCTGAAAATTATATTTTGATACTAGTTAGGGTTATTTCTGTCCCCAACAGTGGAATTAACAAGTAAAGGAATAAGTAATCAAGAAATAGACAATAGTAAGTCATATTTATTTATTGAACAAATGCTTATTGAGGCCTGACTTTGTATCTAACATTAATATTCTCTTTTGGGGGAAGCAGCAAAGGAGAAAGGACTTACAGAGTGCCTACATAAATTGATTATGAGTAACATATAAACTGAGAACAAAAAAACACAGCAAACTGCAGGAGGCCTCTTGGGAGGCAAACTTCTCCATGCTTCATGTTCCAGCACAGGGTGACCTAGTCTGTGTTACCATAAACATTGTGCTCAAGGACATAAAACCCCTTCATTGCACTAAGACATAACCTGACTTGTAGGCTCCTTGTAAAGCCTGAGTCCCACCAGTTGCACATAGATAATAGGCTAAAGATAACCACATGTTCTTGTTTTGTGAAACTCCCAAACTGCCACTGTTATCAATATTTAGAATGACACACCAGTTCTGGCTCACTGATTCATCCTTCTATCACATCACCCTCTCCCCAGCATCATCCACCAATAGTGTGAGAGATCAGAGCTCGGGGCCTTCACTGCCTCCGGTAATAAGTGATGGTACCCTGGTCCCACTTTCACTCTTAATCTGTCTTTTTCTAAATCCTTTGTTGCCACCAAACTCTGGCTGATGTGGGTCTGGTTCCCTACACTCTGTGTTGGGTGTGATATAGATAGATAGCAAACAAGGACAAAGTAAGTGACTTTTGACTCAGCAATGATAATTATTTACCTGTTGATGACTTGTAATTCTAGATTTGAGGTCATTATGAATACTGACAGGAATTGAGTTTCTGTTTCATTTTCAATGCTTTCATCAGCAAATCAAATTAATTTACCTCCACCAAAGAATGCATGGAGACAGTCCTCAAACCACAATTCTCATGCAACAGTGTACCACAGCAATCTTACCTCCACAGCCTCTTCTCAAATATTCTCTTTGATGGGCTCTGTCTTGCCATTTCTACTGATGTCCTGTCTGTGGAAGTTTCTTTGTTTTATTTTTGTTCTAATTTTCTAGCTTCTGTACATCAAGTCAAAGAGACAATTGATTTGTTCTCCTTGGTCACAATTGCATCTTCGCAATTCTCTCCTCCTTTAAAATAAAATCACATAACAGAAAATTCTTATTTTTTTAAGCTGATGCCATTCAATTCAGTCACCGACTACATCTTTCTTCCTCCTTGTTTTTGCATCCTGATCTCTTAGTTATTCTTCTTATTAACTGAATAATTCAATATATAAGTCTTAGTCTTTGCATCATTACTCCTGCTTCATTTTCATGAGTTCGATATTCATGGAAGTGAAACATCTAACTGGTTCCTTTACTTCTTAGGTCCAGTGAACATTCCTTTCACTTGTTTTCAGCCATTCACTTCCTATGATACAAGCTATAATCAGAACTGTCCTTACCAGAAACTGTGCCACTTCTGAATATTCTATTTCAAATATTTTCCTCTCCAACCATATTTTTCTGTTCTTTTAATGCACATGTTTAATTACCTTTAAAAACAAAATGATATTATTATATAGACCTTATCTAGTCATTAGCCATACTTGTCTTTCACTTTCTACTAGCCCCTTCTTTCTTGAACTTCTGTATCACAGTCATTATAATTAGTCCATCAAAACTCCATGAACTTACTTGACTCCCTAACTCAGTCTCACTTACCAATTTTCTAACCTTGAATAATCAATGCACCTGATCTACATCTTCTTGGAGAAAATCACATGATCACTTTAAGATGACTGTTACCTCTTTAAATTTAACAAAATTATTGAAAAATGAACTTGCACTCTTTTATCTTTTATTAATTCATCCAACAGATGTGCATTGTTAATGTTCTATGTGCAAGAGCTGTTCTACGTGCTAGATTTATGACTGAAAAATTTAAAACAGACCTTGGTTTTATGGGGCTTATAATTTAAAGGGGTTGAAGAGAAGGACACACAAAAGCTGAATAAAGAAGTAAGCATTAAGAAAATATCAGATAGTTCTAAGTGCTGTTTCTTGACTGAACAAATGTATATTGAGCACTACTGTCAGGCATATTAACAGAAAAATAGCAAAATAGACTAATAATATATAGGCAATCCTGAGAGGGGACTTTATAAACACCCTAGGATGCCTCCCTCATGAGGAAACATTTTTGCTGAGATCTAAATTGTGGAGGTTGGATAGAAAAGTATTTTATGAAATGATTAGTCATCTAACGCCCCAAATTGGCTAAAAACATGTACTGTACATAGACAGAAAGAAAGTACTGAAATAAAATGAGCACTGCTGAAGCTCTGTGGCTGGAGAGAGATTGATATAAGTTGAGACTGGAGAGGTAGGAAGGAAACAGGCTACACTTTTTTCAACTCTGATACTTTTTCCCCTTTTGTAGGTAGCTATGAAGGCAGCAGTTATCCACCTTCCTTCCTCAAACAATTATAATCTTCTTGTAACACTTATAAGCTAATGTCTCCACTGTATATAATATTTAGAAAATACAATCCATCAAATACAAAATAGTTTTCTTAACTATCCACCTACAAGCTTATCATATTTTTCATCTCATTTTTTCATTTTCTCCTGGCCGTTGTATCCCATTCCTTCACCTGTGGTCCAGATCTGCCCTTCCCACACTTTCTTTAAAGAGGCTTCCATTCTTCAATGATAACATCAGTATCTAATATCATTAATATACTCATCTCCATTATATCATTTCAATTCATCATTAAAACATAGCTCCCAAATTCGAAATAAAATTATTTCCTTATCCCCTCTAAATCTCTCTACTTGAGCTGACAC